GTTGATGATAATACTTTTCTAATTTTACTTGAGTAACACTTCATCCACCTAACCCTGTCTGATTTCAAACTCTTCCATTAACAGCCTGAGTAAGTTTGCAGGCAGCTGTGTGTTTTACTCCACTTTGTTGTAAATAAAACTGCAGCAGCTTGACCACAGAGCGTGAACGTTGTGATCAGCTGATTTTGCGCAGTTCTCCAGTGTGTGCGCGGGGCACAGAATGTGCACAGGGGAGTCTCCCACTGCAGCCAGTTGATGTAGTTTTGGTACAATTCTGTTGTACACACCGACGTTAACAGCAGCCCCGTCTGTGCACACGGCGACCAACTCTGTCGTCCAGTGATCTAAGCCTCTTTCTCCTGTGAAGCTTCACAGGTCCGTCGGTTATGTCCTGCGCGGCACAGCCAGCACCCAGTTCAATCAGTCATAGAAACATACTTGCCAACCTTGAGACCTCAGAAATCGGGAGCATTTCCAAAACCACCGCGGGGGGGGGGGGGCTAGTGGATCGCCGGAGCTGTATTAGATTAACATTAACATGCTTATTGTAGTTGTAAGTGCACTGCCTTGCGGCCTGTAGCACCATATGTGTGGGCTGGACCTGTATTTTACAGGAAAGGAGTGAGCAGAGGGTAGAATTGTCGATTCTTGTTCTGTTTGCTGTGACTATCTTCCTCACCCTCTCAGACTTTCAGTTGCGCGCTACGCTACCATGGAAACCAAACAATGGTGTAGCTGTATTAAAGTCCGAGTGGAAACAGTCCTGAGTAAATCTGATTTTGTCAGAAATCGGGAGAAATGCGGGAGAAATATGACCCCGGGAGGAAACCGGGAGAGGGCAATGAAATCGGGAGTCTCCCGCGAAAATCGGGAGGGTTGGCAAGTATGCATAGAAAGTCCGAAGATTTTTGCAGGGAGCGAAACGGCAAAGTGGCTGCTTAATGTCTTTGTTTTTTTTGGACATGTCTAATAATTTACTCCACTGAGTGTTGACAAGAAACACGTATAGAAGAAATATGTGTTTTTGTTTTGATGACCTATCAGGTACGCAAAGGCGCGTTGTGACACAAGTGACGTTACGCATTTCAGATTGTTGCCGCGCATGCGTACCTGCGTACCAGTTATGTGCACCCCTGGCTATATAGATGTATGGGAGGCGTGTGGCGCAGTGGGTTAGTGCGTTTGTGTGCGTATCAGGGGAGCACATGTTCGAACCCCACTGCAGTCAGCATGTCGTTGTGTCCCTGGGCAAGACACTTCACCCCAAATTGCTCCTGTGGGGATTGCCCACAGTATTGAGCAGAGGTGTGGACTCGAGTCACATGACTTGGACTCGAGTCAGACTCGAGTTACCAATTTGATGACTTTGGACTCGACTTAACAAAATCACCAAACACTTGCGACTCGACTTGGACTTGAACACCAATGACTCGGGACTTGACTTGGACTTGAGCCTTCTGACTTGAGGTGACTTGATAATTTAATTCAGGGGTCTCCAACACGCCGATCGCGAGATGCCGCTAGAAGAGCAGACTCCCGTCGGGGAAAGCAGAATCTTCAGCCGCTGCAACTCTTGCTGAGAATCCATGCAGGCAGGGGCGGGACTTTATTTTGCTGAGCCACCATGCGGCCAATCATATGCGAGGACACACTAGGATCATACCATTATGTGAAAGAAGGGTGGGGGGCAGACGCTCCAAAGACAGCAGGTGTAGTGGTACAGGCCAGCTACACAGAGCGACGGGGAGACAGATTTAAATGCAAGCGCGTCGGAAGAAGTCAAGAAATTTGCGAAAACCGAAAAAAGGAGCAGCTTCTGGCTGCATTTCAATGATATTGGAGAAAGCAAAGCTGAGTGCAGGATTTGTAAAATGAAAATAACCTTCAAAGCAGGGTTTTTTTTTTGGTAACCACTCAGGATTTATTGCCAGAGGTGGGAGAAGTTCAGATCTTGTACTTGAGTAACAGTACCAGAGTGTAGGAATACTCAGTTACATTAAAAGATCCTGCATTCAAAATGTTACAAGTAAAAGTACAAAAGTATTAGCATCAAAATATAGTTAAAGTACCACCTGCAGAGGGATCTAGATTCAGGTGTTCTTTTCCCCATAGAGACCGGCTCGCTGCACATTATCCCTTGCATAAAGATAGATTATGGGTCCCTTATAACATGTTGTACACAGTGGAAATAAACATTCTGGTCACCTCAACATCAGGGATCTTATACATTAAACTCCTTCTGAATCAAACCGTCACGGTAGCCTTACCTTACTGATCCCTCTTACAATAGAAGAAAAACACGTTACTTTACCAGCAGAGAGAAAATGGATTATTAAATGATTAATGTGACTAATAAAGAGCAGTTTGATTATTAAGTATTATTCTGTTGATCGATGTCATTACATTTGTTGAAAAGCACATAAGGACTTGTTTAAGACTCGTTTTGTCAAAGTTTAGGACTTGGACTTGACTTGAACTTTCCCATCCTGACTTGAGACTTGACTTGGACTTGAGCGCAAAGACTTGAGACTTGACTCGGACTTGCAAAACAATGACTTGGTCCCACCTCTGGTATTGAGTATGTAAGTCGCTTTGGAAAAAAGCATCTAACATGTAATGTAATGCATCTAAACCTTTCTCCTGTCTTTGTCTCCCTCTTTCAGCACAAGAACCCCAGGGGGATTCAATGGAGCCTGAAGACCTGCAATGAGACCCTCACCCTGCACCTGAGTCTCAACTCCCAGAGTTTTGCAAGCCTCTCCCTGTTCCTTATTTTTATTAAACCAGAAATTAAGCTTCCCAATGGTGTGGTCTTCGTTTTGTGAAAAATATGATTACCTCACATATCTTTTTGCTGTTGTTGTCTATGTCTTTTGTGATAGTTAAATTGCTCCTGCTGACTTGAGCCAGCCATTCTTTCCTCCTCTCTGTGTCAGTGGGGAAACCGTACATTTGTACTCCTTTCTCTGAGCGATTGGAGCATCCCAAGGCAGCACAGCAAACCATGGGGGAGACTATATATATGCCAGGACAACACAGAGGAAAAGGCACAGACAAACTGCATGACATGCTATTCAATGTTTATTGAATTCCATTTATTTACAATGGATGTTCCTAAAACAACACATTTAACATCATCATCATCATCATCATCATCATGCTGCTGCTAGTCCTTTGACTCATTGTGCTGTCAGTTGACAATCATTGATAGTCACCTGTTGGTCTCATGTCCTTTCTGAAAGTCATAAAGATTACATTAGTCATTTAGATTACTTATGTCCTCAAGTACCATGGGATTACTGAAACCACCATGAATGAAAGAAATTAATTAATCTAATCTGAATTTTGAAACATTCCTTCCCATCCCCTCCCTCTAAATATATCAATAAACATTAGGAAGTGATGCTCCTGACTAGCATACAAGTTTAAGAAGATAATATTTGTTTTAAAGAATTCAAAGCAATAAACAACAGCAACACGCTCTTTAACCAAGGCAACGTTAGCCTAACATGTATATGTTAACAAGGCAGGTAAGATAGCTGTTCACACTATCTATGTATATTTTCTACTTTTTTAATGCTATTTTATTTCAATTTGAGATGTTTACATTTTGGATTGTATATTTCTAGTCTTTTAACTTCTCTAATGTACAATGCCTTGTCTTTACCAACATTTCCCAAATTGGTATCAATAAAGTATCTTAATCCTCAAATATTAGCGAATTTTACTTTTTTTAAAAAACATATTGATGTAACTACATACACATATCGGTATGTTATATAAATATTGCCAATCAAAACCTTTATTGACCACAAATTACCAAAAATCGCATTTCTATCTCCTGTTATTAACGCATTCAAATGGCCCGCCACGAACTTCCGGGAACTATCTGAGGGTGTTTCTCGATGTCAGAATGATCCTTCAGAGCCACTATTTCAAGGATGCTACGTCATCGAATCCCGCCGAAGGACTGTTCCAATGTACAGGATCCTTGGAATTCTACCGAGGACTGAGTCCTTCGTTGCGGGAAATTTCGAGGATGCACATGTGTATGCTCCGCGGTCTGAAAATCCCCACAATGCTTTGTGCACGGACCAATTTCCAAAATCTTTGGCGGAAAATGGCTGAATCCAGGCAGTACATATTTAAAGGTGGGGTAGGTAATTTTGGAGAAACCAGCTCGAGTGAGCTAGAATTTGAAAATACACAACCGGAAAAAATCTGCCACTTCCTTACAGAGCCCCTCCTCCAACACATACGAACGCGCACATGACCAATGAGGGCACGAGATAAGTTTGTGCACAGATGGAAGGCTGACAGGCAGGTAGGCCATCCAGTTATTTTAGCCGGGCCGGCTAAAATGATTGGTCGTGCTTTTTAACAGTACTACGGCTTCCACAGATGACATTTTTGTATGGATTTTTTGTCAAAGCACTTAAAGGGCCCATGTCATGGCCATTTCCACTGATCATAATTCCATTGTTGAGGTCTACTAGAATAGATTTATATCGTGCAATTTTCCAAACTCACATTGGTTTCTGGATATTGGAAGAGTCCTTCGGCGGGACTCGATGACGTAGCAGTCTTGAAATAAATAAATGTGGCATTATAAAATAAAAGTCCCATGAAATAAATAAATGTGGCACTATGAAATAAAAGTCCCTTGAAATAAATAAATGTAGCATTATGAAATAAAAGTCCCATGAAATAAATAAATGTGTATTTACATTTATATATATTTATTGCCTCATTTATTTATTTCAGAATTTACTTCGTAAAGATCTAATCTCAGGGGTGATGTAAATCCTTCAGTCCGACTGTCAGAATGTGAAAGACATGGATGTCGTCAGGAGAGAGATCCATAACAGTCAGAGGCTGAGCTATCAGTGTGAAACCTTGTCAACATCACTCATTAGCATCGTCATTATGTTATTGTGAGACAAAATTGTATTAGGAAGGAGAATACATATTAGTAAAACAAATTGTATTGGGCAAATTGAGACCACTTCAATTATTTTATTGTAAAGAAAAATCCTGACAGTGAAAAATACAATATCTTCAATCAATTTGGCACACTTTTGAGATTCAGATGGGTTAGTCAATCAGAAGGAATGATGTTAATAATTAATGAAAACACATTATTATATGAATTAGTACAACTTAATTTTCAACATTCACGTCACAATAACACCATAACAAAAGCTAGTAAAAATGGAACGAGTTCAAAATTGCTGTTAAGTAGAGGTTAGCTGTTAACACTTTGTACAACATGAAATACAACAGCATGTCTATTACAAAAAGCATTTATAAAAAAATAGGTGTTTGGTTTAATTCTCCCTCTCTGTATATATGTGCATGAATATGAGAAGCATCGGAACAAAATCAAATGTTTGCAGAGTGTGAGCTGTAAAACTGTAGGTAGCTTGTGTATCTCTGGTTCTAACATTAGCATTAGTAAGACGTCTCTCCATGGGATGTGCTCCCTGGGTATTCCTCAGAAGCAGGCCCGCCTTCAGGCCTTGGTTTTGGTAGGCCCCCTATTTAAACAACAAATCAAAGTAATTTATAGCCTCGGCAGGCTCTGTGAATAGATCATAGATATCATAGATCTCACACACCTCTCACACACCCACCCACCCACACACACACACACTTTAATGGAGAATTTAAGTTTTGAATGCCTTCTGACTGCTATTTTAGAGCTCAGCTATTAATGTCTTTTTCAGGGTTTCCTTACGCTCCACAGTGATATGTGCACACAAAGACTGCTATATAACTGCATATCTGCACTGAAATGTACCCTTTTTCTATCGCCCACTTGTAAATGGATTGAATGCAAATGTGGATGTTTATCGGTATGCATTTTAGGCAAGGGTCATGTAATTGACTGTGCTGGATTATAATTGTGTGCAATTGCCATCCAGAGTGGGGGTAGTGTTATGATATTAGGGTCATGCAGTGAGATCGCTACCCCTTTAAGAGAGAGAGAGAGAGAGGGGTGTGGCACGTGCATGTGGGTATGGTAGAGCGAGAGTGAGCGAGCGTGTGTATGTTTCTGGAAGTGAAACGAGGCAGCAGAAGATATAGGTCTGTCAAGTATTGTGTATAACAGAAGAACTAAATAAATGCAACAGCCTCCTAAGAAGAGCTCGCCTCTCTCCAGTCATTTCAGTAAAGTGGGTTATTGAACCTGAAGCTTGTTGCTTCTGCCCTGGGAGACAGAGTCATCCCCCTGTTTCCTCGACTACGGTCTGGGAGCCGACTGTAAAGTTCAACATTGGCAAAACAAAAGTCCCTCCTGTCTGTTTTTCCTCTTCCGCTACTCCATCGCTATCAGAACCAGACATATGCCTACTTGGCTCCGAGGCGCCGCGGCCGCTCGGTACAGAACTAATCTGTCCTTCCTCCTCATCCTGGTTTACAGGTTTAAAATAACCTGTAAACTTCGGCATTTTTTGTAATAGTTGCATGTCTCGAAACTCCAAACAACCTTCATCTGTCACTCAATCACTCGCATTTTGAATGAGTCACATGTGAAACATATTCTCATTCTGATTGGCTGTTAAGTGGTGCCCACGGGGGTGTCTTATAACTTGTCAATCGCCAGCCTGGCCACATACATTCAGATCAAATGATGGACGGAACATTTGACGAATTACAAAACAATGCATTTTTGTATTGGCTCATGATAGGCTCCCGATCTCCGTAGGCCCCTGGGCTTCAGCCTAGGTCAGCCCGTGCATTAAGGCGGCCTTGCTCAGAAGCATTAATCTCCTCACGCCAATCTTGATTTGATAGCGATTGCTTTGTCCACATCAAGTAATCCACCATTCCTTAAAAAGCTGGCTGTCCAACGCAGCATCATTCAAAATGTATCACCGCTTCTTGCTTTCCGCAGGCAAGAAGTGCAGTCTGGTGAGACATCTCATTTATGCTGCTTTGAGAACCCTGGTTGCAAGTAACCAAAGCAGTGGTTTTATTGTCTCACTATGAGATATCGAGACTCCCATATTGGCAGACAAGCTTATCTCAGTATAAGGATGGAAATAGCCAGGCCAAGAGTAAAAGCAGCTTGCAGGCGCCAGTAGACCGACTCGTGTAGGGAAGAGCAATGGCTCCCACAATCCAGTGGGAGAGCCTGTTTTGTAGGGGTTTTCTCAATATCGGGATTACCCCAGGATACTTAGACCCTGTTTACACGGAGACGAAACGGATGTTATCCGCTACAGTTCTCTATCGTATGGACGGTTCGTTCACACGAGGCCGTAACGGAACTGCGGAAACGGAGCCATCAAACGATAACGGGTCCCAAGGTGGGTAGATCTGCGGACGGAACGCTCTGGGGGGCCAAACGGTTCCGTGTGTACGCCCTATACGATCATTCCCTGCCTCTCCTGCTCACCCTAATCTAATCGGACAGGAGAGAGATCAGATATCAGCTACTGCTGACGGAGACACGCAGCTCTGCATGATCACCTGCAGCTCCGCCCGCGGTGAGCGGAGCAAAACACACACTTCAAGTTAGATTATCACACTTAGCTATTTTAATTACCTCTCTTCTCATCTTTTATATTGGAAAGTACATTTAGCCATTGCTTTTCAGAAACCCATCTGATCTGGAGATGCAGCCGCTGAAAGGGTCAGTTGAAAAAAAGTTAATATCCATTCACTCCAAGTATGAGTACCCTGATGAGGGTGAGAAAATACAACCACATCACACCCGTTCTTCATTCCCTCCACTGCCTTCCTGTCTCATTCAGGATCGACTACAAGATCGCACTACTGACCCATCAATGCATCCACGGGAACGCTCCTCCATACCTGAAGGACATTCTCACATCTCAAACCTCCACACGCAACCTCCGCTCCACAACCAACCATCTGCTTCGCCCCCCCAGGACCAAACTACGCACAATGGGGGATCGGGCTTTCTGTGCAGCTGCTCCTCGCCTGTGGAATTCCCTCCCAGACCACCTGAGGACTCCACAGACCACTGACTCCTTCAAGAAAGCCCTAAAAACCTTTCTTTTTAAAAAAGCTTTTGATTAAAACTTTTGTTTATTTTATTTGTTTTTATTATGCCTCCTGTAGCACCTTGGGATTGCTGCTAGCAATGAAAGGTGCTTTATAAATTGAATTTATTATTATTATTATTATTATTAAGTAACGGGAACACAAAATGGTAGGGAATGATGTTCGAAATGAGTATGGAGGGTGGAAAGCAAGCACTAACCTTTAATTAAAAGCGCAACAATTGTTAATACAAACAATAATATTGGTGGAATGCCAATGTAATGACTTCTTGAAGAACCTCCACAGACAACATCGCTGCTCTCGCTTCCTTCTTTCAGCTTTACCTGGGTTTCTGAGCACCTGGGAAAAGAGAAATTAAAAGTAGCTTCAGTACTTTGTGTGTTTAAAACAAAACTTCTTTGTATCACTTTTTATTACGTTAAAAGTACAAAAAAGGTAATGACACACTCATCAAAAACAAACAATATTAAAACAAACGATTTCCAAAAAGTCTATTGAAGGTTATTAATGTTTTGTTACTAAATGAAACTTGAGGATTGGTCCATCACACATTCAAATAAAGCCACAGATCACAACTTATTATCAGCAATCCAAATATTGCAGAAACAAAGTGGTCATTTCATGGTGCAGGGCAGGAAGAGCCCTACTTGTTTGAGTAATGCCATAACAAACAAAGCCTTACGTTGTCCAGTCCGTGCAATTCACACCATGCTCTGAAAAGAAGCCAGACTGGCAAAGCTCACACTGTGCATCCACTCTGATGGTTCCTTAGAGAGAGGCACACAGGAGAGATTAGTCACACAGCAGCCAACATCCAGTAATGATCCATCATCACATCAGTGTCTTCATTTTGTGTTTTTACATTCACACTGCAGGAGATCAGTCCTCACTGTCTAAAAGTTCATTCAGGAAATGAATACATCTCCAGTCATAATTTTAATATTTAAGGGTTATCTTTCAGGATGGTTACTGAAACATACAAGGTCATCATATCTGTTTCAGAAACCCTCATGTGATAGCTGTAGGACTCATAAAGAAACTAGGAGGGGTTCCTGTTTACTGCCTGTCACGTGAGCTTCTGCACCTCGGGTTATAGTCCAATCAAAAGTCTGATCAAAAGTCATGTATTCGATGTAATTATTGTCTGATACTTTGTGTAATGTAAAAATTAAGATTCACATTAAGATCAACTTTGAGTAACCCCTGAGGGGAAGTTTAGTTTGGCACTGGTGTTAGTTTATGAACACACACACCCGATATACACACACGCCTAAAGACAGGCACTAATGAAGAGCAGGCAGAGCCAAGGCAGGGTTCCTGCAGGTTTCGCCAACTCAAATTTAAGACTTTTTAAGACCTTTTTAAGACCACTTTGAATAGAATTTAAGACCTATTTCACGGCAAGAAAGTATGAAGGAAAATTGCTATGAAAGAAGAAATACGTCCCATAAATGTATTCATGTTCAACATAAGAACAATGACTGAACATAACAGCATAACAGTACAGAACTGTGTTAGACAAAAAGTGTGTATGTGTGTGTGTCTCTGTGTGCTTGTGTGTGTGTGTGTGTGTGTGTGTGTGGGCTGTGCAATTAATCATATTTTAATCGCAATTACGAAACAACATAATCGATTATTTTGCTTTGCTAGGTTGTGACAGTGCACTACAACATATTTGATTAATTAATTTTAGTCTAATTTATTTTTATTTATCATATTTGTATATGTTTAGTAGCTTGTGGAAGTGCGCTCCAAAATATTTGTTGATCTTGTTTATTGGTATTTATTATTTTTGATATTATTTATTTAAATGTATCATTTATTTAATTTATTTTTTCAGTTGAATTATACGTTCAGGGTAATCAACAGTTAAAAAGATACTGTCCAAATTATTATTTGTTTTAAAGTTCAATAAATGGATGTTTTCAAAGTCAATTAATAATTGTATTTAATAATTGTGATATCAATTATTGACCAAAATAATCGTGATTATGATGTTTGCCATAATCGAGCAGCCCTAGTGTGTGTGTGTGTGTGTGTGTGTGTGTGTGTGTGTGTGTGTGTGTGTGTGTGTGAGAGAGAGAGAGAGAGACAAGAGCTATATTCAGAGCTCTGCTGCCTTGGCTACAATCTTTCATCGTTGCTGTTGTATGATTGGTGTTTAACTACGGTATTTAGCGTCTACAGCACCTCCGCTTTTAGGGTTGACGTAGACCCAAACGTTGCCCGGAGGTCCCAATGTGTTGTTGCGGGAGCTGCTGCACTAGCTAACGCTACATTAGCCAAACAAACGCTAATTTATTTTGCAAAAGGTGCAGCGGGCTTTAAACACGTTCCCCTCCCCTGGTTTCAACCAAGCACTAAATTCGATGTTTTCCAACCAATAACGGTTGAACTTACACTTCCCCATATTTATTCGAAGATACATGAGTTTCTGTCTGCCGCTAGCTGAAGCTTGGTTGCTAGGTTACTAGCTGGGTGTTCTCCAATAAGGGGCCGGCGGAAACAAAGTTAGTGATTACTGGTTCCATGTTGATTTATTTCAATACAAATTGTTGGGGGGAACTGAAAGGCTATTACCATACTGGTTACTTTGCAGCCCGGACATTTCCCCCAAAACACATTTAGACGCTATCGCAACACAGAAGTACCTTTCAAATCCGATCATTTTTAAGACCTTCTAAATCATATTTAAGACCTTTCTTATTTTTTTGGCCATATTTAAGACCCTTTTAAGGCCTTAAATTCATATTATCAAATTTAAGACTTTTTAAGACTTTTTAAGACCCCGCGGGAACCCTGCAAGGGGCTTACAACCTGTGTTCCAGGTTCCCATGGGGGTTCAGTGGCTCGAGGACACCTCTGCAGTGCCCAGGAGGCAAACTAGTATTGCGTTATTTATGTGCCTCTATCCTGAGCACGCAATGAAACATTTTGAGTATAGAAAATGTTATTGAGCGTGCAATTTTTTAGCACAGAAAAATATATTTTGCAAGCACAATTGACTCTAAGCCCTCTCACAAACTCCTGCTGCACGCGCTCTCTCTCCCTCAGATAAGCCTCAGACCAGGACTTCAGTGTGCATTTAAACTGTCACTGTCAGGAGAGTGTGACCTGTATTTTACTTACCAGGTTCTTTTATCCTCTCACCACGTACACATTGTGTATGTTTTTGTGCTGCACTGCATCCTGTCACATCTGAAACTTTGCAGAAATACCCATCTATAACTTCACAGACTGTGTCAGTTGTTTCTGAACAGGCATGCAGGGCAAAGAGACCGTTGCCTAAAGAAACAAACAGAAAGAAACAGTAAATGCATGCAAACCTAAATAATGAAAAAGAAAATAGGATTATGTGCCAATATAAATACAACCAATACATCTTAAATACCCAGAGAATTGTTGGTGGAATATGATAGACGTCTTGGTTACATATGAAAGCCTGTCAGTTTTCAGTTCAGTCATTTATCACTGAGAGACAGTTTATGAAAATACAGTGTAATGACGCATTTAATGGACTTGGAGTTTAAAAAAACATTATTTAAATGAAGTCTTAATTCATTATTATTGGCATATATTAAATATAACTTTTAATTTAACAGTGTAGAACTCTCTTCACCCTTGCATAACCAATGTAGCAGCTGCAGTGTTTCCCCTAGGACGGAGTCATAGCAGCGGTGCTAAGGTACGTGGGCCCAGCATAATGTGAGCACGGAGCGCGTGGAATTTCTTAGTGCGAAGTGCGCCCCGCCAATTTGTTTCTATGTGTCTGCCAGCACAAGAATGGCTCTTGAGGCCTAGTACCAGGGCCGGTTCTAGCCTATTTGCTGCCCTAGACGAGATTTTATATAAAAAGAATAAATGAAAAATCTCTACAAAAGACAAATACACTACAAAAACAGAAACGTATTGACATAGGTAATATACGTCAAAATGGCTTCAAATGTATTCAGTATTGTATGAACATGTTTGAATTGGGGGGTGGACGTCATATCCTCTAGGGGGGTCCGGGGGTTTGCCCCCCCGGGAAGATTTTTTGAACATTTTAAAGTAAAATGCTTCAATCTGGTGCACTTTGAGCACACAATTACTAGAGACCTGATCTAGGGGGTATAACTCTAAAACACCCATCTGAAAAAGATCGGTTTACATTTTAATAATCAAATAAGTATATGAACATAACCAATAACCTACCATAGCCAATAACAAATAAATGTAACTTATTTTATTTTTGTTGTTCATTCATATCTTATTTTACCTAGTTAACATTTATTTATTTATGCATATTTTTGTATCTCTCCAACTTTAAACGATATTTTTGGTTTACTGTCCTATAGTGCACATTGGAATGATTTCAAACCTGTTTTTATTTATCCTAATAATTATAAAGGAGTGCCTTGGAAATATGTGTTTACATAATTTGTGGTCAAAACGTTTGAGACCCACTGAGATAACTTAGACTAAAATGAACTATCTAAACACTCAGAGAGTCCTTTAACCTCCCTGAGCCTCTCAGTCTGACAGGAGAGCTCTCCTCCACCCTGGTTGTAGAAACATCTACTTCTTATATCCGTTAGCGCAGCTAGCACCAGATTCTAATAACAACAGCGCCGGTACCGGTGCGCCCTCTCTCTCTCTCTCTCTCTCTCTCTCTCTCTCTCTCTCTCTCGCTCCCATGCTCGCACTTTGGCTGTGAGCTGCGGGCGCCTGATAAGCCAACATCCCCCACTTTCGTCACTTACAGCGCCCATCGTACAGGGCAAATGAAAAGTGTAACCGGGGTGAAAAAGGTGTTACATTTACTTAATTATGAATGTTGTTACATCAAGGCCGAAAATTAGGATGAGCGCCAACGGTCATATTTCAGCAGCTGCGCTGCGCCGCCACTATTTGTATATAGGGGAAACACTGAGCTGCTTGTTGACTACATCTAACTCCCCTCTCCACATGTGAAGAGACCTGGAACACAGTAGGCATCAGTTCTGTTGTGTGATAGTTGCATTCATTATTCATTCACACATTATAGACATACCTGAGTCACAGGAGGTGCATGTGAAACATGTAACCAGTCCATTGGGTTGGTTCATATAAGTCCCGTTTTTACAGCGGCTGCAGCGTGTGCCTGACTGTGACGTGCAGTCTCTCGAAACAATGGTTCCTGTTCAACAACCAAACACTCTGTCAGCATCTCAACATCAAGACATGAAGGCAAATTACAATTACAAAATGAAGATTAGAGTCGGTAACAATATGTTCATCCCGTTTCAGGTCTTTGATGGAGCACTTCAGGGAGCAAAGCCAACTTCAGCTTCGGAAATCCCAGTTCAATTCATCATTTAAAAAGCTCTCACTGACTTGATATTTGAATACTTTCATAGACAGAGATGTAATGTACCTTCGCTGCACATAGGACAACATTGCCCAGCTCTAGAATATTCTTTAGGACGACAGCAGAGCCCTTGTGCCAAGAAGGACGCACACCCTGTTGAGAAACAGCAGTTCAGTGTTAAGTAGTACGAGTCTGCGCAGTACATTCACATAATAGTGATGTACCAGATAAGACTTCACAATGTATCCTTTACTTTGAATTTATACCTTCATATTTACAGTCTCTGGTTGATACATGTTAATGCATTTAATTGTTCAAGTTTTGATACTTTTTGCGCTTTTACTTTTTATATTACACCAAATGGTTTTATCGCCATTGAACAATTTTGTTGAATATTTCTTGAAAACTATTTTCTACATTTTACAGTGTATTGCAACCAAAATCCTTTTATACATCAAGGGTTTCCTGCAGGCTGAACTACATCAATATCTGTCCAAGTATGCAATATGGTGCTTCCAAAACCACTTCACGTAAGGATGTCAATCTGTTTGTTATACTACAAGACTTAAAGGTGAAGAAATATTTTGGTAATTTCTTATTGTGCCAATTCTACCAAAATCACTTCACACATTAATTGTCTCACGTAGGTCAAGCTACAACACTTTTAAAAAAAAAAAAAAATTATTGTAATGTTCATGGTACAAAGTATATTGACACCAAGATGATGTCCAGGAGACCCCTAAAAACTATAGTTATACCTGCTTGCATTAGTTATTATATTGTGTTTATTTCCCCAATAATTATCGATAGTAGTATTAGCAGGAGACCAAAATGTGTGAAGTCCTTTTGGCAGCACTACAATGCATTAAAGGGAAATAATTAAACATGGTTTATGAGAAAAGAAATCAGTCAAATAATTCATAAATATATTTCCCCTAAAGTATGTGTGTATAAGCAGCAGGGACCCATTCATTTGTGAAGTGATGTTATTAGCAAACTTTCTCTATAACTGAAGTTATTGAATATGCTGTACAATAAAAAATCCACTACATTTATTTTAACCCTCACAGTTACTTTGTACATACACAAACAAACACACTTGATGATATGGTTATATGCAGTATTGTATTAGTAATCTACACAGTATTTAATGTAGCCAAATGCAGCTAGTTTTAATGACTTTGTACCATAGACTGTATATATAAATGGACGTAGGGTCCGTGACATCACCCATAGGATTCTGCAGAGTTGCCGAGAAGCCCTTAGTAGGCGGAGTCGGCAACTAACGGCTCGACAGTGACGTCAGAGTCTAACTCCCGCCTGCTCCAGCCTCATCCAAATAAGGGCAAAGAGGCGGAGCCAAGGCGGGACCTGCTGCTGAAGCACAAGGCGGGGCTCCAAGCTCCCAATCTAGCTGAAGCTACCAAGCTAGGCTAACACGCTCACATAATAAGCCTTGTTCAACATAATTTCTTTAGCTAATACTACAGCGGGCTGCAGGCGAACCAAGTCCGCGTTTCGTTGCATTCCTTGATCTCCAGTTATAACGCCGGACTCCACCACCGGAGCTAACGGAGCCGCAGGGGGCTAGCTAGCTCCCTGCGGCTCCGTTAGTTCCGGCCGGCGGACTCCGGCGGCCACCACTGGGATAATTGGGTCCCCTTTTAACATTTGCTCCCGTTTAGCATTATGGCCGTCATAGCCATAGACCAGGGGTCGGCAACCTTTTTGATATGAAGTGCCATTCTAAAAAAAAAAATGTATCAGCGTGCCGACGATCGTGAATTATCAACGGGGTAGTAGCCTACATTATTCAAGTTTACATTAACTTTGGATAATAACACGGGAGAAATGAGCGGAAGCGCTCTCTTTTCCTCTCTCCCCCTCTCTCTCTCCTGACAGCCTGTCAGTATCTCATCACTGATCCAGTAATGAGTGACAGTGAAGAATACATATACATATACATATACATATATTTATAACTAGTTCCAGAGGTAGATAAAATAGCTAAGTGTGTTAGGTCTAACTCTTGTGTGTTTTGCTCCGCTCACCGGTCCGTCACAGCGGGTGGAGCTGCAGGATTTCTGCTTCACACACGTTGCAAATCGCTATTTTATTGTCATTTTCGGACACCTTAAAATACTGCCAGACTGGTGAAGCGATTTTGGCGAGCTTGTTTTGCCGCACACAGAGAAAAGTGTCATGTATGTTACGTCTCGCGATCGGCCTTTTTAGAGAGCACCGATCGATTGGCAGAGAGTGAGTATCGGCCGATATCGATCGCCACGCAAAAACTGCGGCATTTTTACAGCTCCTTATGGGTTTCTTTCCTCTGTGGTGAAACTATCAGCACTGCATTACGGAGGAAAGCGGCAGAAAGTCGCCTGGAGTTAAAGAGAGTGGGGCTGCGTTGCGTGCATGGCTTCCTTCTGCAGGTAACGGGGAGACGTGCTCTGGCGGCGGTCTCGTTCAGGATCCGAAAAGAAAATAAATATTTTGTACACTTATTCCACTTATTCCTAGTGTGCCACTGGTTACGGTGCCGCGTGCCATTGGTGGCACGCGTGCCAGGGGTTGCCGACCCCTGCCATAGACTATAAAAGTCTTACCCAAGGCTGAATCATGAACTAAACAGTATATATATATATATATATATATATATATATATATATATATATATAGATATATATATATATATATATATATATATATATATATATATATATATATATATATATATATATATATATATATATATATATATATACATATACACACACACACACACACGTATAAAGTGTTACGTCCTTAGCTGGCTAATAAGCTATATAACAAGCTAAGCTAAGAAGCACACAAACACCTGCTAACGAGGTTAACATGTATAATATTATCATTTTAGACTTCTTGGAAGTTCTGTTAGTACATTCAACCGCACAGCACGACATTTTAATTGTCTGGTATTTGTAACAACATTCCCTAAAAGGCACAATCACCACGAACACGGCTAAAGGGTCAAGTACAGTAACTACAACTAACTAACGTTGTAGCCTAGCAGAGTGGACAAGTTGCTGTTAGCTGACAGTGAGGCACGTACCTGTCCATCAAAGTGACCACGCCCTAATTTATGCAAAACCTTGAAGACCTAATATGAATAAAAGCATTATAAAACAATTCACTCAACAATTAATAATCATTAAGGTGGAATCTAACTATATCCCGAATAATTTGTATTGCATCCAGGGGTAGAAACTAGGGATGGGAATTTGAAAGCAAATGTATATTCGAATATTCGACCCCCAAAAAACGGTTAACCGGTTAACCGAAATGTACATATCTTATAAAAAAAGAAATTGGGTCAAAAAAAAATTTCTAACATTTTTTTTTCAATAACTTTTGGAAATAAATAAATACATGTTCAAATAAGTATAGAAACCAAGTCGAATTTGTCAAATGTATTAAACTGGTGATCACAGTTTGACAGCTATAGGCCTACAGCTTTCATGTGCGGAGGCAATTCACAATCAGGCCAGCTGTAGAGAAGACCCTCTCAGCTGGAACGGAGGTTGCGGGTATAGCAAGGTATAGTATGTATATAAGTTTAATTTGGCATAGTTTGCACTCTACACTGCACTCACTAACCTGGTCGAAATATTTCCACACATTACTCCTTTTTGACGCCATGTCTGTTGTGTAGGACTCTTCTTAGAGTGTAAATAATTACCGGACTATGACTGGTAAAATATGTTGAATACCGGCAAAACTAAATCTCTCCTGTCAAAATGTCTATGTACTTTGCTGCCACACACGGTTGCCAAGCAGCACTTATTGTTGTTTAGGCTGGCCACTCATGTGTCGCGAGTGTTGACAGGGGGCGGGGGAGCACGCTCATGAAGTAGCGCCGGAACCTCGCAACGGCTGCGGAGCGCATTTGCACCGCATTTGGGCATAAGATGAGGTTTGAGTCTGCGTGATCTGCGTGTAGGCAGGGACAGCAGGCATATCATTAGCTAGAACTAGCTAGATCTGATGGATTTGGACATAAACGCGAGTGAAGTACCTGACGCGAGAGAGAGAGATCAGCACCTGCAGCTCAGCCCGCTGCGAGGGACCGGTGAGCGGAGCAAAACACACCTTTAGACGTCACCTAACACATTTAGCTATGGCACTGTCGTATACATTGAATTATTAAATTTGATAATATGTAATCAACTTAGGCATCCCTCCCAATTTTTTTTATAAATAAATAAAAATTAATAAAAATATTCATAACTCATATTCGAATACCTGAATAATTATTGGAATACCTGAATAATTTCGAATATTCGAATATTCGATTAATCGTTCCCATCCCTAGTAGAAACATGTTTATTTCTGCTGTAAAGTTGGGCATTTTAACATGGGGGTCTATGGGAATTCATCCTTTCTGCAGTCATCGCCTATCGGCCAATATATGAACTGCGGTTTGTGGCACTTCCTTATTGGCGTCCCGGCTCTGCCCCAGAGTTTGCCGCTTGCTTTGTACACTGCAGGGTAGCTTGTGAATTTACTCCAGGTGGAACTAAAGTCTGATTTAAGACTTGATTATATCTCACATCATTAATCCAAATCTGTAAAGTAACTAAAAGGTATTAAATACATGTAGAGGAGTAAAAAAAAAAAAAATGTTCCTCTAAACTGTAGTGGGGTAGAAGTACAAAGTACCTCAAAATTCAACTGAAGTACAGTACTTGAGTACTTTTGACCTCTGGTACCTACATGGAGGTAAGGAATGCCTGCTCGCCAGCGCGTCTAGTTTGAGTGACGGAAGTAAAGACAAAATGAACCCTTTGACGTTTGAATCTCCACTTCCCGTGTGAAGGTGTTACCGAATAACTTGTGGGACGAACAACTGGTGATATTCTATAACGGTAGGAATGTGTCAGGGGCGTGTACTTTGTCGAATAACCAGGAAATACACATTTCGATCGCTTCTTCTGTTGTTTACATTCATCTTTTGGTATATTTGGCTGGATAGGAACACTTTGATGCACATTCAGTACCAGTGTGTGAGGTTGTGGTTGCGATGCCGATATCCAGACACGTACAGCGAGGACTACAAAAAGACACATGAGGTGACATGAGGTATTTTTGCCAGACTTATTACTGAATATCAT